TGGTAGTTCTCAGGTGCCAGGCTTTAGAACCTCCCCAAGTTTCCAAGCCTCCCAGGCAGACCTTCGGGGCACTAAAGTCGTACCTGCTCTTGCTGGTGTCCTAGTGTGCTGGGGACAGTCTCATTACTATCACAGTGTGGTCATGCTGGGTTTATTTACTGGTCTGCCGTTGATACCCTGGCCAGAAAAGCAGTTGATGGGCAAACTGAGCAAAGGCTCAGGGCTCCTGTGCATGCATGTGTGTTGAGGGGCCAGAGTCCTGTCTTTCAAAGAACATAGCTCACCTCCCTGGAATCCTCCCACTGAGTTAGAGCAGTATTGGGGAGCGTGGCTCAATCTACTCTTGGCTCAGAGTAGTCCCTCCTGCCCGGCAGCCACTTAACTTCTCTAGATCCGACCAACTTTATGTCACCAACACAATGCTGCATCCTGGCCTTTCTTCCTGGGGATGGTCTAGGGTCTGAGCCAGCCATGGCAAATTGTGACCCACACAGTGCACAACCCTGTGGAAGCCTGGGTTTGGCCTGCTGGGAGATGCCTACCACCAGAGATTGCGTCACAGCTACACCCTACTCTTGCCCTTGCCTTCTGATGTGGCTGTCTGTGCCTCAGTTTCCCCATCTGAATAGATAGAAGGGGATGGGGACAGAGGGAGCCTCTATAGTGACTCTTCTTTCCCATGTCCCACCAGTTCTGGGTGCTTGGGGCACAGCAGGGCCTTTAGATGTAAAGTTATGATGGCAGAATGTGCTGGAAAGAGCCATGGAAATGTCTAGGTCTAGTTAAGAAACTTCAGGTGGAATCTAAGAGGACGCCAAGATGAGCCTCTGGAGCCCTTGGCTTGGCTTCAGGCAGTTTTTTGTCTGCTTGGGATTTGGTGCCCTCTCCCCTTTTTAGTGCTGGGTCTCACAGGGTGCCAGCCTTCTGCTTCTACATCAAGGGGGATAGAAAGGAAGGTGGGTTCTCCTCTTCCACAGGGTTCCCAGTTTATGGTATAGTCAGAGGACTAGAGTGAGAAGAGGGCAGGACAAATTTTGGGTTGAGGGTTTTGTGGGTGAGTTGGTGTCCCCCCTCCCTGCACTGGAAGTCCTGCCTGGCCACAGGATATGGAGTGGCATATACTTTTAATCCCAGCACCCAGGAGGCAGATCTCTGAGTTCCAGCTAGGCTACCCAGTGAGACCCTGTCTCAAAAATAAGACAGACAAACAAAACCGAAACAAAACAACAAAACCACAAATAAAGGGCAAAGGCTTATAACAACCACAATTACTGAGGGCAAACTGTGTGCCAGGAACCATTCATAACTGATCTCCTTTCACGGAAGAGACCACTGAGGAGAACTGGTTTTCACCCCGGCTGATAGGGCATCCACACACTGTGCATTGCTGTGACAGAAATGCTAGTCAGAAGCAACTTATGGGGAGAACTTATTTTAGCTCACAGCTCCAGGGGGTTCAGTTCATGGCCAATTGACTCTGGGCTCTTAGAGTAAGGCAGTCCAGGTGACAGGAGGTATATGGTAGAGGAATGTTCGTATCATGGGTGCCAGAATCAGTATGAGGGAAAACTGGGGACCAGAGCACACCTTTAAAAGCATGTCCACAGTAACCCACTTCCTTCAGCCAGGCATTGGCTTCCAGAAGCTTATGGAATAATGCTTCCAGCTGGGGATCAAACACTGAGCCCAGGGACCCTTGGGTAAGTTTGTATTAAACAATAACAGTAGGAGAGGAAACTGAGGCACAGAGGTGACTAGGTCTTGGGGTTAGGAAGTGACAGAGCAGGGATCTGAATTTGATGTCTACCCGACCGTGCAATGGCAACTTCTTTTTTGGGTGTAGAAGTGGGCGGTCTTTATCTCCACTTATTTTCCCTTCAGGATCTGGTATCTTTGGCACAAATGTGGGCCTTTGGGGTGGACACAGGTACGAATGGAGTCCCAAGACATGGGTTGACTCAGGCTAGAGGGATGCTCAACCAAAGACCATGAGAAACAGAAAATCAAAGATTGAGTGATGAAGACAGTCAGGAGGGACAGAGGAAGAACATGGACGCGCTGAATCCCAGTTTCCCTTGCAGAACTTTCATGTGACCTTGGACAGATCACTTAACCTCCAGCTACCTGATCTGCAAAATGGGCCTGACCATTCTCCCAGCCCCACCCTCTTCTGAAGGTTGACCTTTCCAATAATCACAGAGACGTTTTCCAGGAAGACTGGCTGGAGAACCCAGGGCATTGTGCATAGTTAGGCAAGTGTTTTACCACTGAGCTACATTCTCCCAGTCCTTAGAGACGCTTTTCAAATTGTCTAAGCACATGACGCTGTCCATGTGCTTAGAAGGCATGTATGTTCATGAAGGGAGTGGGCACTAGTTGGGAAAGTGGGTACTGCCACCTTCTGCCTCATTTTCCCAAGGCAAAGGTAAACACAACAGGCTCTGAGCTATAACTGCCTTCTCCTCTCTTGCACTGTCTGTGTGGGGAGTCCTCGGCTCTCTCTGTGACTTTATCTTCTACACACTGGGGCCCTGGTAGGTAAACTTAACTTGTAAGTTGCTTTGGGTTGGTCACACAAATGGAGGCTCTTCTCCTGGCTCCACCATTAGACCATGGCCTTGGCCAAGTCACTCATCCTTTTTCTGCACCATCAGTTAAACAGCCTCTCCTCCTTCTACTTCAGAAGGCCCTTATTTTTGAGCCCCAAGGTCAATAATGGATGTGAAAAAATGCTTCGGGGGCAAAACCAGAAAGCATAACACAAATCTAAGAGCTGCTTGCAAGTTTATATCACCCTGCGCTTTAGGCCTTTGTTATGTCTTTCAGCACTTGAGAACTAACCACAGAGCAGGCCCCCAGTAGAGCCAAATGAATGGAGACAGGTGGCTTGTGGAAGGGAGTCACAATCTGGGTGCTCCTGCCACTGACAAGCCGCTGGACTCAGAGCTAGCCCAGGCCCTCTTGGCTTCAGTTTCCTATGTCTGAATTCAGCTATGGGTTAGAGAGGCGTCTCTGAGGGGTGGGGGAATGGTTAAAGAGCTGCACCAAAGGGAACCGTTTCTTACTGGACTAATGCACGTGCACTAACAGCCTTGTCTCAGGAGCCTGCCTTGGGTTTCCCCACTTTAGCTGTCTTGAGGGGCACATCGGCAGCTGGGCAGCCACACTTGCAGCGTTACAGGGATTTTTAGGCTTCGGAGATGGCTTGCCCAGGGTCTCACTGCTAGGGAACAACAGGGTTGGGATTCAAGATCAGGCTGGGACCCATAGGCCAGGCGTATTCTATCCGTTAAGCCTCTTCACTCCTGCTCCTTCTCCCCTTCCTCCTCTCTTCCGGGGTCTGGCTCTGGAAACCAGCCAGTCCTTTAACTTATTATTATTATTTATTTATTTTTTTGAGGGGAGCAGGTTTTAGGCTGAGTCTTTCCAGGCAGCCCTCCCCCCCCCAAAAACAAACAAACAAAAAAAAACCCCATCAATCTCTCCCTTTTCCTTCAGCCCCACTCACTGGAGGTCCTTCCAGAGGTTAACTGTGAACCTGAAGGAGCTCTTTTGATGCTGATAGGATTCCCCTTGCTCCCCGGTGGGACTGGGGTGCTAGGTGAGCTAGGAGTCTGGCTGACGAGGGTTAGCGTCCCAGCCCAGCCTCCTCCAGCAGGCTGCTGACCTTGGTCTGGTTCCCCCTCCCAGGGGTTAGGCCAGCTCTGCCCAGCAGGTCTGGTCTCCCTGGGGAGAGCAGGTGCCCCGGCTCAGGCGAGGATAATGAGAGCTCCTCACGCACCTTGCCCCCATGGAGTTACCATCTGGCGTTCAGATGCGACTCCCGGGCCTCTCCCGCTTCCCGGGTCTCCCTCCCAGGGTGCAGGAGCACGCTCCCGGTGTAGAGGGCCGCAGTCTCTCCCCAGAGCTTTATTAAGACTGTTACTGTAAGAGAGGTCCCGGAGGGCAGAGCACCGCGGCCCCGGGTTGTCCCCAGCGGAGTCAGAGGGCGCCAGGAGCCGGGCATCCCGGGTAAGCCCAGAGTAATGAGGCTCTCCCTTATCCTGCGGGAGGCGGGGCTGCCCCCTCCTCCCCTCCTTCTTGTCCCGCGGGGAACCAGGGCCCAGCACAGAGGGACAAGAAGTGAAGAAAAGGTCTTCCTGACAGATCCAGTAAGCCCGGGGGGTGGGGGTGGGGGGCAGAGGATGAGGTCTTAGGAATGCCCGACGCGGACGCGGTGTGTGAGTGGGGGCACAAATGTGGCGGTGGCGGTGGGAGGGAGAGGCGTGCCCGCGAGTCTTCGCGCAGCGCCTGGCTCTCCGGCCTCTGTAACTGGCCTCCGGGGAGGTCAGCATCAGCGCCTTTCCCCGGTCCCCTCCCCTCCCGCTGCCTCGGGTTCCCCCCGGGAGTCACAGGCAGCCGAGCCGGCGCGCACAGGCTCCGGGTCGGGTAAACACCGCGCGGGAGGGGCACGGGCCGGGCGGGGAGGGGAGGGGCGGGGCGCACCGGGGGCCCCTCCGCGCGGGCGGGACGGAGGGGACAGGGGGCGGGGGCAGGAAGCCAGCCGCGGTCCGGCGCGGCCCCGTGACGTCGCTCGGCTCCCAGGGATCTCTCCCGAGGCCCACGGGTCCCCTCCTCCCGCCCTCCTCCGGCGCCTCGCTTCAGCCCGGGCGGGCATTCTCGCTCGCCGCTCGCGGGCTGCTCCGCCGTCCCTGCCTCCCTCTCTCCCCTCTCTCTTCCTTTCCTCTCCGACCCTCCATCCCTCCCTCGTCTGGCCTCTCCGCTCCAGGTCTAGTCCCCACTCCTTTCTCTTCCTCTACGCTTCCTCACCCTGCCTCCTCCCGCCGCTCCCCCTGCCTCCCGCCGTCTTTCTGTTTTTCTCCCCGTCGCCCTCTCGGTTTCTTCCCTCCCTCCTCCCTCCCTCCCTCTCTCCGGGTTTCCTCCCCCTGCCCTCCCTCCTCCTCGCTCCCCTCCCCCTCGGCCGCTCGCTGCCTCCCAGTCCCTGAGTCGCCGCCGCCGCCGTCTCCCGCGCCCCGCGGCAGGACCGGCCCGCGCGCTCCCCGGGGTGCGCCCCCTCAGTCCCGCGCCCTCCGGGCTCGCAGGGACACCCTCCTCCTCCCCGCGCGCCGCGGCCCCGCCCGGCTCGGCCCCCGCCCCGCGCCGGAGCGCGCCGAGGATGTGAGTCCTGCCCGCCGCCGCCGCCGGAGCAGCAGCCACTCGCGCGCGGAGCCCGAGCGCAGCGCAGCTCAGCTGCGGGCGCTCGCTGGGTCGCTCGCGCGGGCTGCGCGCTCCTGCCCCAGGCGGTGTCCCCCTGCCTCTCGCCGGCCCCCGGCCCCGCGGCAGCCCCGAGGGCCGTCCCCGGCCGGCCATCCCCGGCCCCAGCGCCGCTGACCCTGTCCTCCGCGGGCGGGGACGCGGGCGGAGGAGGTGCCGCCTCGGAGCCCCCGGACGCGACCATGTCGGAGGTGCTGCCCTACGGCGACGAGAAGCTGAGCCCCTACGGCGACGGCGGCGACGTGGGCCAGATCTTCTCGTGCCGTCTGCAGGACACCAACAACTTCTTCGGCGCCGGGCAGAACAAGCGGCCGCCCAAGCTGGGCCAGATCGGCCGGAGCAAGCGCGGTGAGTTCTCCGCCCCTTACCCCCTGAGGGCTGGGTGCTGCGGCCTGGCGGGGGCGCAGGGGTCCCCGCGGTCTGGGGACCTCCGGCAGGGTCTAGGGGATCCCTCCTGCGGTGGGAGCGGGATCGGGCCTCGGGCACGCGTCCGCATCTCTTCCGGCCAGCCACGGGGTCACCCGGGGGCGTGGTGGCCTCTAGTTGCAGCCGAGGCCCAAAGGTTATTGCCCCCCCCTCGTCCTCAGCCGCACCAAAGTTTGCTTTTCGATTTCGCATCCCCTCCCCCTTTTTGCGCAGTGGAGTCGTAGCTGCACTCTGCTCAGCTACCCTGGGGGAGGGGGTCCCGGGGCTCCTCGGGGGGCTGCGTGGGGACTGCGGGGGAAGGACCTTAACTCCCTCGGGGAAGGCGAGGGGCTTTCGGGTCGCATTATTACTTGCCAGAGGGGAGAAGGTTGGTCTAGCCTGGGATATTGGAGTTGGAGAAGCCCCAGAGAAACCGAGCCGCAGGGTGCTGCCCGAAGAGCCTGAGGTGCCGAGGTGAAGGGAGGGGGTACTCGAGGGACCGAGGTGGGCTCGAGCCCGAGACAAAGATCTAGCGAGGGAGCTGTCTCGGGAGCCACAGCGAGCCGTGGGCTCGAGTCTAGGGAGGACGCTGAGGCAGCTGAAACAATGAGGGTGACCGACAGAGAGACCCACGCGTAGAGAGACCCGGAGTCCTGGACGGGCGAGCTGATCTTCCCGGAGAGGGACCGAGGAGGGCAGTGTGGAGACCGACCGTGAGGCAGGCGGAGGAGACGGCCGCAGGCAGGGCTCCGGGCGGCAGCCAAGGGAGCTTCTGCTCTTTGCGGTGGCACAGAGAGCAGAGGCCACCGGCCCGGGCTCAGGCAGGGTGCCCGGGAAGGGGACACCCGCGCAGGCCAGGCCTGAACTCTCCAGCCGAGGATCGGCGTGGGAAGCGATCCCAGCCTCCCTTCTTGGCTCTGGGCTTTTTGGAACCCGGCCTGGGCCACCGGCACCAGTGACCCGAAGACCTCGGCTTCCCCTCTTTTTCCCTTTCTCGGCCTAGGATTCTTCTTTGCAAACGGATGCCCCGGGCTGGGAAAGGACAGGGCCGGAGTGCCGCCCGGGCTGCAGCCTAGCTACGGGGATGGCTCCCTCTTGCTCGCTTTTTCTTAGAATCCTGCTAGGATGCGGGTTAGGCGCTGGGGCAGTTCAGCCAGGCAGGGTAGGGAAGCTACCGCCGTGGGGTTGTTCCCCCTGCACAGGGCTGCCAGCCTTCCTTCCTCGCCCTCTGCTGCACCCCGCCGGTGAGCATAGACAGAATATCTGCGACCCCTGCCTAGGCCTGAGCTCTCTCACCTCTCTCCTCCCTTTTTTATTTTTATTTTTATTTTTTGCAGTTGTTATTGAAGATGATAGGATTGATGACGTGCTGAAAAATATGACCGACAAGGCACCTCCTGGCGTGTAACCGCCCCAAAGACAATGAGTTGAGGGAGGGAGAGGATAAGAAGAGTGGCGGGCCGTAACAGTTACCGACGAAAGCACGAGGAGGAGAAAGCACTTTGAAATTTACTGCTAGCTTGCTACCTACGATGAAACCAACAACCTGTGTCTCATGTCAGGCCGGGAGAGAGATGAGGTGGGAGGAGGAGGAAGGGGAGGAGAAGGCTCTGGGCTCCTCTACAAAAAAACAAAAGTTTAAAAAAAATTAAAAAAAAATCACATATACACACATATAAAGAAAAGAGTCTCAGTTGCAGCTGTTTGTCAAAATTAATACCTGTTTCCTTTTATATATGGTAAATCTTGTGCAGTTCTAGATCTGGGTTTTGAAGCACCTCCTGAAGGCAGCACCGAGTACTTGAAGGTGCTCGCGTGCTCGCTGATTTGGCTGTCCCTGACGTTTACATTATTTAACCTTGCAAAAATGATCCCGTGCACTTGGATGTGACATGCTGTCGAGTTTTATTTTTTAATGTTGTTTATTCTTGGATGTACAAAAGAAAATTGGGGAAAAAAATGATCTCTGTAGATACTGCTGTACTTCGGTCATCCTTTGAAGTTATCAGAAATGTGGTTAGAAGCAGAAGGCGACTTTTCCAAGGAAGGATGCTTAGGAAGAATCCTTGTCTTCTTTCAAAGAGATGAACTGTAGAGCTTGAGTTTCTTTGTTGCAGGGAGGCTCTTAGACCGGGTTAATACCAACAGCGGGTTTTATGTGTCAGGAAGAAAGAAAAAAACATAACAGGAAAAACAAGGAAAAATGCTTGAGCTTTTTCTAACCTCCCCTTGGGGGGTCTTTTGTGTGAGCCCCCTCTTTCCTCCAATATTGTGTCACTTTATTCTCTTTAATGGACTGTAAAAATACAAATGTAATCACAAGAGTGCCAAATATCTTGAAACGCCAAAAGGCATTTGGGTTTCTTTTTTTCCCTGTGCTCTGAGTCCTTGTACAGGAATGCTTGGAGTGTCTTTTCTGTTATTTATAGGGGTTCTCTTAGGCTCGCCAGCTGCCTGTTTTGCATGGTATTTGCAAAAACTGCCTCTTGCGTGAGGAATCTTTTACCATTTTTTTTTTTTTTTGGTTTGTTTGCAACTTTGGACCTCAAGAGGTCCCCACCCCCCAGTTCCTTTTCTTAACTCTGTATTCTGTATGTTGCACCTTGAACCAGCACACAGGGCTATTTCTCCAATGTACAATAAAGAACTCTTCCTGTGTCTCCTCTCTTTCCTTGGCCTTGTTTCTTGGGGACTTGCTGTCCATCTGACCCGAATAAGGAGATGGGGGCTTTGGTCTGTGGGATGAAACAGTTTGGGGCTGGGGGAAGCCATCTTCCAGTGAGCTGGATGGACCAACTTATCCCTGGAGAATGGCTGACTCAGTGGGCTTTGGGTTTTACAAATTGGGCTCCTTTTGGCTTCCCTGAGGCTTTGGCTGTCTGGATGGGTGGGGGAGGCTGGACTTGGGCTCAGGTCACAGCTCTGGTACCCTTGCTCTCTGAACAGGAACTTCTGCAAGCATTACTTGCCCTATCTGCAAAGAACACAGGACTCATAGGGTCAAGAAGATGAGCATCAATACACCGTACCCCCAATCCTTCCACATAATGCTGCTAGTAACAACCATCAAACATCAGTAGGGGCTTGTCGGTGGATACACTCTCTCTGTAACCTCTAGAGCCCACTGTTCTCTGGGGATGCATAGCCAGGAGGTCCCCAGCACCTGCTAACCCTGCCTGTAATCACCTTGTTGAGCAGGGTTGGGGTGGTAGCTCCAGCTAAGCTGGAGGCAGTGATGGGGAGAGGATTTGGGTGGAGGGTTTTGGCTCAGAGGAGAACCCCCCCCCTTCCCCCTGGGCTGTTTTGCATGTCGCAGCCCCACTGCCTGGAGCTTTTAATATGTTTGTTGTAAAGCTGTCAGCCAGGGAGTCACAGCACTGATCACAGTGACAAGAGCCTGAGTGTGACTCAGACACCAGGTAAGAGTCTCCACAGAGGGGGTGCCGGAGAGGGGCTCCAGGGGGCCTGGGAGGGGAGGGTGGATGTCTCATCCCTCTTCTTAGGTCTGACAGCCTTAGCAGGCCCTAGCCCAGGGTTCTCCATCCTGTGGTCATTACTGGGACTGATGGGGGAGCTGGAACTGGCAGTGCCCAGCCTGCGGATGCTAGCAGATGCCAACTTCATTTTCCCAGGCACATGGTCCTCTTGAAACTGGCTGTCTTCCCTCTTGACCCCAGGCACTCACTTTTGGAGCGGAAGGTCTATGGGCTCCACAGAGCCAAGCAATGCCCTGTACTCTCCCCTAGAAGGCTAAAGGGTACTGGGAGAAGGATTAGGGGTAGGGCCTGCTTTTTGTCCAAAGGACAATCTTCCAAGAGGGGCAGACCAGATGAAAAGATTGCTTTGGGGATGTGGTTTCCGATCACAGCACTGCAGTCACTGAGGACCTTCTCATCTGTTTTCTCACGTGATTGTCTCAGCAATTCCAGAAAACCCAGCGACATTCACTCACCAGCCACCAAGGCAGGGAAGTAAACAAGACCACCTGCATCATTTGAGCATTTGCTGAGTGCCAGACTCAAGGCGGCCCTGCGGAATGGGGGCTGCTCTTACCCCAGCTGCACACTAGAAAGCAAGCCTAACTCCCGCAAAGTGCCCTGGTTTGTTAGCCGCAGAGGCAGGATCGGAACCCAGAGCCCACCATCCGGGATGAGGATGTAGACAGACTTTGGCTCTGTTCCCTGCTTCAGCCATCTTCGTCCTTCAGCCGTTAAAGGTCCTTGTGTTGGTGTGTTGTTCTGAAACTCTGCCTGTCTCTACCATCGGGCACAACAGACTGCGTCAGGGGTCAGAAGGGGGCAGCTTGTGGATGTGGTCAGCTAGTGCCTGGAGCTGCCCTGCGCCCTGGGCCAGGGCTGAAGGTCCATTTTAATAAGTGATGTATTAAAATGTTCCTGCTGGAGGCCACTGGGCAGCGGAGGCAGGTACTCAGCCTGGAATGAGTCTGCCTTTCCCAAGGCCTCCATTCAGTAACAAGGCAAATAAATCTCCTAAGTATACTATAGCATTGGGTAAGCATTTGTTGAGAAGACACTTTGGGGATTGGGAAGATATCAAATTATACCAAGTGCTGGTTATGTCTGAAATATCTGGAGAGGGCAGCAATAAATATGGAAGAGGCTATTAAAAGATGGAGGTGGGGGAGGGTGACTCCAAACCTCCAAGCATCAACCTGGAGCAGCCAGGCCTGCATTCTTCAAACTTAGTTAATTGAATGTTTTCAGTAAGCATCCATCTCCCTGGATTCGGTTCCTGTGGCCTGTCCAGGCTGTCAGGCTGCAGGAATATCAAAGGTGTCTTTAAAGGAAGAACTGGCAAATTAAGTTTTAAAACAGCAAAGCTCGAAGATTACTGCTGTCTGCCGCAGATTGAAGGAATGAGCCTGGGGTGCCCTCGGCAGAGCAGACAGCAATTTCTAGGCATCCAAGGACTATCCAGGAGAAGGCTCTGACATAGAGAGAGGGGAACTGACTTTAGGTGGCAGGTGGACTCAGAACTTACGAGGCTTGGATGGAAAACCTTTATCCTGGCTGTGAGCTGGGATGTTTCGCAAGGTCTTTGGCTGTATGGTTCTTCTATAAAATAAGGACAGTAGGAAGTATCAGGAAAGGTTAGATGTGGATGCTTATTTCCCCATGGAAATGGCTTCATATTCAGAAAGCGGCAGCCCTTGAGAGTGAGCATGTGCCAGGCAACGGGTGACCAAAATCACTGGAGAGGTTCTTGTAGCGTGTCGTGTTTTTGTATACAGTTTTTGGCTCCTGTACACAAAGACAGAGGTAGTCTCCTTGGGGCGGAAAGGGCAGGAGTTTGCTTGGGGAATGGTTGGGGAGGATCCATCTGCCTTTCATGACCTCCATCAGTTTTCCAAGGTTCCCACATGAATCTGTGTGCTTTCTCCCCAGAAGCAGTGTCTCAGGAAGCTACGCTATCCCCTCCACCCGGCCTGCCAGAAGTCTGCCTTCTCTGGACAGGAGCCATGGTGCTGACTTGCCGTGGGGAGGGATGAGCTTAGCCCTCCGAATGGGTCACTTCCTTAGACACGACCTTGGGCTTCATTCAGTAAGTACTGATTCAAGGCCTGCCATGTGCACCTGGCATAGTGAGGAACAAATAGGGGCTTGTCCTGGGTTCAAAAATGATCATTTTCCACCATGGAAGTGGAGTGGGACAGAGAGGCTGTGCTGACTAGTTTAATGTCAACCTGACACAAGCTGTAGTCATCTGACAGGATGGAACCTCAACTGGAAAAAAAAATGCCTCTGTAAGATCCAGCTGTAGGCAGGCCTGGAGGATATTTTCTTAATTGGTGATTTATGTGGGAGGGTCTGGCCTTTGTGGGTGGGACCACCCCTTAGTTGGTGGTTCTGGGATCTATGAGAAAGCAAGCTGAGCAAGCCGGTAAGCAGCACTCTTCCGTGGCCTCTGCCTCAGCTTCTGCCTCTAGGTTCTTGCGCTCTTTGAGTTCCTGCCTCGGCTTCCCTCAATGGACTATGACTCAGGATATGTAAGTCAAAAAACTGTCTTCCCCCCCCCCCCAAGTTGCTGGTTTTCGGTCAGGGCACTTCACTGCAGCGGTTGTAACCCTAAGACAGCAGCTTGGAGATTCTAGCCCTTTAATGACACACTTTTTTTTTTTTTTTTTTTTTGTGTTGGCCACAATGGGAGCCAAAGACAGCTGGGTCTTCGGTATGGCCTGGCACTCGAATATGTGACCCATTTTAACATAACATATCACTGAAACTGTAGACTAGTTTAAGATGATCCATAGATGGTGAGCAAGAGGACTCGTCACGGTAAAGTGCACACCCCAGAGCCCTATAGCCCGAGTCAGATGCCTTCGACCCACATGGTGAGAAGGAGAGAAGCAATTCTCAAAAGTTGTTTTCTGAACTTCACATGCATGCTGTGGCGTGCCTGTGCTCTGCCTTCTGATAAAGAAATTCGAGATAATGATGATAATAACAACAGCAGATGACAAGTTGGGAGGACAGTGCTAAGTTGACATATATAGCCCTGATTCCGTTTCTTCTATTCCAACTATCTGGTGCCATTCTGGCAAATTTTGCTTGCCTAAGGAACCAGCATGGGACCATGGTTAGTAACTAAACCCCAGAGCTTATTCAGATTTTATTAGTTTTTATATAATGCCCTGTGTCTTCCTGAATTCCACAACGGAGCACACATTACAGTTAGTCATCAAGTCTCCTTGGGCAGCTCTTGACTGGGTTGGCTTCCCGGACTTGCCTGCTGATGGAGCACTGGAGACCTGTTTTACAGGCTGGCCCGCAAGTGAAGTACCTTCTTAAGAGTGTTTTGTTTTGAGACAAGTTCTCTTGGAGCACAGGCTGGTCTTGAACTTAGTATGTAGGCGATGATGCCCTTGAAGTTCTCATCCTCCTGTCTTCACCTCCCAAGGACTGGGATTGCAGGCATGCACCACAGTTTCCAGCAGAGGCAAAAGTTCAGAGAAACCACGAGTTCCAGGCTCACCCGGGGTGGGGTGGGAGAAGACCCAGAATTTGCAAAATCCCCACAGTGTTGTCAGGTGGCCGATAGATGGAGCCGTGCAAAGAAAACGAGGTTTTTAAACAAATTAATAGAAGCGACTTCCTGTGGAGAAACTGTCATCCTGGTTAGCGACTCTGCAGCATCTCATCTTTTTCTTGGAAACTCAGGCAGCTGCTCTGGTTTATACAATCTGCCTATCGGAGGGAAGGAGAAGGGGGAAAAACCATGTTGTCTTTATTCAGCAGCAGCAGAGATTCTCCCAAACCATATGCAAAAATAAATCCCAGGCAGTGCCTGTAACCCAGGAAACCTGGCAGCTGGACTAAAGGCTGCTGGGCAGCCTGGGGACAAAGATCTTATGTCCAAAGACCCAGGCCCCATCCCAGAGGGGCCAGACAGACAGCCAGACAGAAGGGGGGGGGGCTGTCCCACCCTTCCTCTCAAATGCTCGATGATCCACAGATTTGACTCACCTTGACAGCCCTCACACTGGACGGTTTTTCTCTAGGGAGAAATGCAGTCCACCCCCTACCCCCCACCCCAGGCCTGGAACAGAGTCCTTGACCTAGAGGCAGCTGTTTTGAGGACAAAGGGTCACCAAGAGGGGGAGGAAGTCACTGGGAGGACAGGCTGTATTGGGGAGGACCAG